AGATGAGGAACAAGATGATGTCTGGACTACCTTAAATGGAAACAAGGATGACTTTCTCATCTATGACAGGTGTGTGTTTAGGGGGAAACACAGGAAAATATTTGCATATATTTAGAGTAATGTTCTGTATTATTTCATTGATGTGCAAATAACAAAGACATCATGATTGGCTTCTAAACTGAACTAAGTAAAGTGGTGGCATTTCCTGGGAAAAGAGAGCTGCAAAAAAAGTGCTTTTGCATATGTGATTTTGGAATAAATAATGTTTTCCTTCTAATTACTGTGGATTTAGATTAATGTAACTGAGTGTAGAATTTGATAATATGTTTTTGGGTTTACGCTGTTTTTGTTTCCAGACAACTTCATTACATCCATGCATGTGGAAGCAGAACCAAGGAGGAAAGTTATCTGAGTTCTCATGGAAACATTTTAACCAGAGCTGTTGAAAATGCCATGTAGACATGGGAAAAATTAATCTTTAGGTGAAACTTAAAACTTCAGAAGAAATAGCTTTTTGATAATAGGATTCTGGGACGTGTATTTTGGCAGATCCAGTAATAGCTCTAATTGAAATCCTCATTTTTTCAGTTTTGATGTGACAGTAGTTGTTTGAAAAGGCCTACACTTGTAACATGTCTATCCTAGTTACTTTATGTTACTGTAATGAACATTCTAAGTTCACACTGAAGCATAATTAAGCTCAATGAAGAATTAGAAAGTTGCTACTTGTTTTTGTAGTATGATGAAATGAAACAAATTAGCTTGATTAGATTTGGGATGAAACTAGCACTGGAATGATCTTGCATGTTACCTCAGCAAGTATGGGCATGTGTCATACATGTGGCTGATGTCATACAACAGACAAACAGAACAAGGCTATTTAGTCTGTGGAGGGCCCCAAAACTGACACCTGGCCCACAGCATTTGAAAGGTTGGCCAATTTTTTGCTGTTGACACATAGGAGACACAGACACTACTAATTGGTTTGGCGCTAGTCTGGCCGTGATCCGTTATGGCTCTAGGGATATGTGTCCTTATTGTGCCTTGGCCATGAAGTCTTTGCCTGTTGCTGGTCCTAGACGTGCACTGCAGATGTGTGGGGAGCTAAGGCTGGAGGACTCTGTGTTGACATTGCAGGCGGGGCACTTAACAAGCTGCCCTTGTGTGCAGGTTCTGTGTTTACTCCACCTCCTTTGAACGGACCTGTTGTATAGTCAACAGAACATATCAGAACACTCAAGTACAGATGTGGAGCAAATGGGCTCCTTAAAGGTTTCCTCACATTCACCAAATGAGTAATGCAGATGCACATTCCAATCAAAATACATGTTAGGTTGCATAACAACATTCTGTAGGGATGTAACAACCACTATGCAAACAGCCCTTCTCATTAGCAAGATAGGTCTGTAATGAGTGTACCTTTGCTAGTCTTAACTGTCACTAAACCAGACACTTCTGCCAGTACAGTCCCTACATCACCCGTAAATCATGCTTCATGCTTCTGGATGCTACAGTTGAGCATGGAAGCATTTGTAAGGGAGATACTGGATTTGCCTGTAAACTCCTTGAAGAGTAACACTCTCCATTAGACTATACAATTAGACTGTCGATTGATGCAATTAAAATGATATGTCATAAGAAGAGAGATTTAATTTTAGGTATGTGTAACCACAAAGTTCTCTCTCTCCTTAGATGTGGACGTCTGGTGTATCATCTGGGCCTGCCCTACTCCTTCCTGTCTTTCCGACATGTGGAGGACTCTATTAAGATTGCGTACTGTGAAAAGAAGTGTGGGAACTGCTCTTACATGGTATTTTCTTATCTCATTCTGTGTGTGCTAGGAAAGTAAACTGGATTTGACTGGTACTTAGAAAAAAGTTGTTTCAGTGCAATTAACCCAGAAAGAGGTAGAATTTACACATTTCATGCGACTTGAGAGTTTTTAAATATTTTCCCAAGTAGACTTGATCTGATTGGTAGTACACTGATTGAGTTCTTGCTCTTATGGAAATGCAAATAATTGTCAGAAATATGAGTGCAGTCTTGGAGGCTAATTCTGTTTGTGGAGGTGTATACAGCTAGTGAGCAATTAGCTGCTCGGGTTTTGGGGAATGGGTAAGCACGTAAACAAATAGTATTGTTTTAATACCTGTGACTCAAATCCAAGCTGGTTTGAGATACTATTCATTTTAATGTGCATTTAAACACAATATACAGCAGTTAATTCTACAAAGTGATAATATGGAGTGGCAATACTGCTGTAAAAGAATAGTTTTGTAGCTTAGGTCAGAACAACTCTAAGGATTATCAAGAAATGTACATACATAGTCATGAAAGTTCAATGAGAATAATTTTGATCTCGTCATGCAGTTTTCCAGCTAAATGTAGGCCACAGGCAGGTCAGATGTGAGGTCTGGGAAAGCAATAGTTGCCATTGAAATTACTGGCATTATAATTGCTGATAGTTTGCATCAAGCGCCTTGTCTAGTTTAATTAAATACAGTGCCTTGTATTTAATGCTGCCTCCGTTTTGCAGGAACCTGATACTGATGGTGTATGTGAAAACATCACTAAAAAAGCAGATGAAATGCTGTCAGAGTTAGAACCCAAACCAACTGGTGAGCACTCCCATAACCGCAGACACGGACACCACCACCACCGCCATCACCATCGTGACAGCAGTCGTCATCCCAAAAACGAGGACCATCAGGTTTTGTCTGAAACCCAGAGACATCATCTGCACGGTGGTCAGCGTCATAGAGGTTTTGGCCATCACAGACATGATCAGATAGGTAGTCATGAACAGGTAGTTGTTGTTCCACCAGGAGAAAGTCTGGAAATGACACCATATCAAAAACTATGAAAAAAAGGGAAAAACATCTGTAAAAACCAGTTAACTTGAAATTGGCAGACAGTGTCAGACTCAGCTTCCAGTAGCTGATGCTGACATTGTCGACACCTTTTGTTTGAAGAGTTAGGGAATTCTGTCACTTGACAGTGTCGTGGAGCACTTCCAAACTCCTGCAGGTGACATGGCCAGCTGTTAGCAGAGGACATCACTGAGTCTTGACAGTGACGTCTGCCCTCTGCTGCCTGACAGCCACCAGCAGAAGGAGCAAGTGAAACCAGTGACACCTGACAGTGACAGGAAAAGGCGAGAAAATGAGCCTGAAAAACAAACTAAGCACCTTCAAAATGCAAGGGAGTCCTAACAACCAAATTCATACAGTTGCAAGAGTGGAAGAATGAACAGATTAAGTGCTTTTATTGCCCCAAATTAAAAATTGTACTGACGGGTGTGTAGAGTTAAAATATTGCAAAGAATTAGACTTTTAGAGCTGTGCTCTTAGCATTACAGAACACCTGTCGAATTCCAACAGTGAAAAGCTCCAGAACTTAAAGGAATTTGATTGATGCTTGGTTTGTTTTTCAGATGTGTTGGGAAGGTGTCTGCATTCTCGATTAATTTGTCTTTCTTGTTCCTCTTCTAACGTTCTGCTTGCATTTGTGAGGGCAGGAGCATAAACTATGACCTAGGGGCTCCTGTCTGATGTTTTGCAATCAAGAATAGAAGATAACCAAGAGAGATATTTTAATCTTTTTTATTAAGACAGAATATAGTCAAAAGTCGAGTTTTTCTTCCTAACATGGGGATACAAATTACATACAAGAAAAACTTATTCCTAAGCAATGTGCCAAAATAACTTTTTATCGCAAATGCATATATGAACAGTAATTGCAACATCTTGAAGTAACAGATTTTTATGCTTAACTTTTGTGGCTTAAAACCTGTAGGAAGGTCCATTAACACATACTGCTGTAGCTTGTAAAATCCCACTAGATCAGTGAGATGCTGCCCGAAGTGAGAAGTGGTGTTAACAACAGGCAGAATCTGTGTCAGAATCACAAAGAGGGATGGATAAAACAAGCTTAATCTTGGTTTAATGTTTATCTTTGTTTGTAATAGTGCCGAATTTGATAAATCTGTATCAATCAGTAAGGTAATACACCACTTAAGCTTGTATAACTTCTCTATCTGTAGTTTAGCATTCCTAACGTTTGATTAACCAAGTGGAAGGTAAAAAGAGTTGTTTGAAGGATTTCTGGATGAAGAAGAGAATATTCATGAAAGGAAAACTGCTATGAAAGCATACACCATAACTAATGATGGTTTAATAGGGAAAGTATTACTCCTACAAAACCTGAACCTTTTTATTGTGAGTGCTGGTTAGCAAGAGAGTGGCCCTGAATACACACAGAATGCCATGCCTTTGGAATACTTGACAAGAGCGTTTCCAATAAAAAAATACTCCATGTTTCTTCATATCTTGTGTTTACTTTGAGGTGTATTTCACACTGTGTGTACTACTGAAACCCTTCATGATATTCGCTCAAAATCGCCTCCGTTTGACGTGCGACTCTTGGCCTTTATTAAGACGTTGCTCCAGGTCTCTTATGGTGCTTCGGAGGATTTCAATTTCCTTGTTTTTCTCCTCCTGGAGATGCTGCAGCTTCTGTAAAAATGTAAGCAAAGGCTTCATCATTAAACATCACACAGAACTGTGTAACAATACAATCTGCTATTGTGAACGAGAAGTATTCTAGTAAGAGTATTTTTCTCAGTACTTTGTGTCACAAAATTTCAAAGTTCTCTTCCCAAAAATCCTGGTTTTGTGACACACCAAAGCCTCAATCCTACAAAACCCATAATGCACATACACTCTTTATATCAGTGTTGTTTATGTCAGTTCTGTGTTACCAGGTTAGTGATTCTGTACTGAAAACACTTCACACTCAGTGGCCTTTCGTTGCTGAACCTCAGCAGTATCTACATACAGAGAGACATGACGGTTGGACTTGATGATCTTAAAAGTATTTTCTCACTTAAATTATTCTATGCATTTGGTTGTCTGGAGGTGCGAGGGATGTGTGGGAGGGAAAACACAGAAGCAGACAAAACCCAGGGATCTGTGGTGTCAAACAGGCTGTAACAGTGCTCAGCACCTGCAGACCACAGGCTGTTAGAGCACTTACCCTTCGATAGATACTTTGTGGCAGGAGAGAAGCTTCTGAAAATGACTTGCTGGTTTTATTCTGAGCTCTTGCTAACTTAGCATTGAACTGAAAGAAATACAAAAGGACAAAACAGTTGGGAAGAACATAATAACATAAATAATTCAAGTATAATTTTCTTTTTTTAATGTACTTCCATTTTTTTACCTGAGAGTAGTAATAGCAAATCAGGTTACTAATTAATCCTAGGAAAAAGAATCTTCCTATGTTTATTTTATAAAATGCAATTACGTGTTATGTTTCTTTAAAAAAATCCTCAAAATATTGCAAAAGGTAAGTAGTACAGATATGATAAGCCAAATACATGTAGATGAAAAAGAAAACATGAGATAAACATGTGAAGGCTCCTCAGCCACATATCTACAGGAAGAGAAAATATAGAGGATGCCAAAAACCTCTGACAGCATCATCCTTTTCTTATGTTCCAAGGATAACTCAGCCTGAACACTTTCACACCTTATTTCTTTTTTTGATATGTTAAAGTTTTGAAGTATTTCCTTAATTGTTTCTGTAACGAGACTGGTGTAAAGCCTGAGCAATGAGATACATGTTGAATGCTCTCACTTGAATCTCTGCAGGATTAGGAATTTTTTCATTGCAAGTTTATATTCCCAGCACTCAGAAACTAAAAAGACGAAGGTTAAGCAGATAACATTGTTTAATTAGTTTTTTATATAGCTGAAAACCTAGAAAATTTTCAGAGTGGTTTAATATAAAGCAAGAACAGAGAAAACTTCAGTCTCCCTATAAGTAGATAGAACTGGATTCCTGAGCAGACATGTCAGTTAGCATTCTGGGAGGGAGCATATGCCACTGATCTTTGTATAGCCAATGTTTTTTTAAGTTTTCTAGATTTCATCATATTACTTTGTTAAGTACTAGTTAACACTTTTCACCACACAGTCTCTCTGAAGTTTGCCCAATGCCCAGCTCATCTCTAAGTCCATTTGTAGTGCATACCTCAATCTGCAGTTTAATTATTTCATTCTGCTTCTCTTCATCTTGAATTTTCAGCTGTCTGGTTAGCTCTAATATTTCCAGTTCTTTTTTCTCCCTTTGTTCTCTATACTCCATTTCTTTTACTTCAACTAGCAACACCAAATATTGTGATTATAGAAGACGTTTAGATGGAAAAATAATATAATTTCCCAAATATTAAAACTTTTTTGAACACCACGTTAACATTTCACTGTAAATCAATTTCAGTCAAGCAAAAACCATACTAAAACTGTGTGAAAAACACTCTCTCCCATCCCAGTAAGATGGTGTGTCTTTAAAAAAGCATCATAACAAAGACTTTTCTGGTTGTTCTCAGCTCTCTGGATGACCAAAAAAATCCTTATCTTCAAGGTTATGTCTCTAATGGAAAAAACCTAATATTGAATTTTTTCTTTCATTGCAATAGTTTTTATTTGTGAAAATAATGTTCTGCTCCCCTGGACACAGATAGAACACACTAACACCACACTTTGAACTCTTACAGTTCAAAGCAAGTTTCCAGACAACACTTAACCCAAAATTTCATTGCAACAGATTTTTAGGTCTATGTTCCTATAATCTGTTCTAAGTGTTTGGGAATTTCTGCCCATCTTGTGTTTCTGTGCTATTTCCTCATTGCCACTGTCTGCTCTCTTGAGCAAAGATAAAATTCAGCTAAGCTCCATCCAATTCTAGTGTTCATATGTTTCCACCAAGCAGTGGAACTTGTACTTATCCTAGATGAAATGTAGATCCTACAGGTTGCAACATGTTTACCCAATGCTGTAGAATTCAGTCCTCAGAGAACTTACATTTTTTTCTTATATCACAGTTCAGCTGTCTTATTTCTAGTTGGTGGTCTTCCTCTTTGTTTTTAATTTCTGTCATAAGTCTCTCAATGTGATTTTTATATTCCTGTGAATGCAAAATGTTTTATAAAAACCTTGAAGTTTCCCTGCTCTAGCCTTCTGCAAAGCACACAATCATGCAAAGATGTACAGTTCTAAATAATTCAGTGCTTGTTTTATCCTCAACCTAGTAAATTCAAAATGCCCAGTTACTTCTTACACAGTCTGGCTGAAATCCACAGGTGAAAAATGCAACAGATTTCACTGTGTTACAAGCTATGAGGCAACCTAAAAATAGAAATTTTACTTAGGAGAACAGGCGAACAGGTAATATTCCTTCCCCCAGTCCAGGATCTGACCCAATGAGAGTTGGTTAAGGGACTCAGTTTTGCTTTTGTGGATTTTTCATTCAAGGGTTGCATAACAAAAATGGTATTCAGTGTATGAATTTTGTTAGTATTGTTTTCACCAAGGATTCCAGAACTTCACACTGGCAGCAGTGGAAACATCAGTGGTACAAGCAGTAGTGAGACTGGTGGCACTGATACTCAGAGTTCATGCCAGTTGTAAATTTACTCTAATAGCTACCCCAGAATTATCAAGGAACTCTCTGTAGCTGCCACTGTCCAGGTGCTCACTCCAAAGCTCTTCTGACAAGACAGGTGGCATTCACCAGAGCAATGCCTGGGAACACTCACGAAGGCAGTTTCTGACTGGGATAACGGTAAATTAGGGACAACACCAGGAAGTTCCACCATGCCCATACATGTGTCGTATGTATAGAATAATAGTTTCTCACATCCTTCAGAAGGCATTACTTATTTTGTACCCAAACTGTCAAGATAACAGCTCTGTTGGCATAAATATTTAATTTTAACTCGCAGTACAAACACAGGCAAAGTAAACCAGCAATGAGATTCCTAATCCCGTACCGGTAACAGATCTGCACTGTTGGCACAGAGAACTAACACAGCTTATGACCAGCCCTGCTGGTTTCACTTCCTTTGCAGAAATGAGTGCCACAGAAAAATAGCAGAGAGATGGTAAATGGAATTTATTATGAGACACAGGTAAGGAGTAGAGACCTAGTACCTTTGTAGTAATTACTGCCAAAGAAACTAGACAAAATTCAGACCATTCTTGATTCTCTGGCAACACAACCATTTTCAATATCAAAGCTTTATTTCTACCAAAAATATAATTATTTTAATGCAAGGGATTATAATTTTGAAGATAAAGTTGGATTTAAACCTAAATAGAATTAAAAACTCCAAGTGCATCTTAGATTGAGCCAGAGTTCTCAGCGCTTAGGTAGTTTTAACCTCTTAGTTCTTCTCACACCTTCTCCTGTGGATACTGTCATGAGAGCAGCACTTCTCTTTTCACACATGATAAACATTAGGAGAACAACAACAATGATGGCATCAACAGCATGACCCGAGAATATGAAGATGTATGAGCTGCCACAGTAGAGATGAAATACTATTCCTCTCCCTAAAGAATGATCGTTTGTGACATACCTCTTCACAAGACTTTAATTTCTCTTCCAGGTCGTGGATGATACCCTTCAGTCTATCATTTTCATCTATGTAAATAAAAAGCTGTATGATACACTAGAAAGTACATTCTGACAACATCACTAGCATGAAAGCATAATAAGGAAATTAATTTCATTTTTTGACTTGGCTGAACTCTAAGAAACTTATTTGCAGACATAATCATCATTTAGAGAACTATATAGTTTGATCATAATATTTGCCTGGTATTACTACTTGGAACTGTCTTTAGGCTCTGATAAATGATGCATTCAGGAAAATCTAGATGCAAAGTTCTTTGACTCAGAAAATAAAAGACTATTTTCATGGCTACAACAGTTTCAAACTGGAAGATGCAAGTTTTAATGTACTTTTTCCCCAAGAAACTAGAAAGCAGTATCTCAAAAACAGAATTTAGAAAAAGCAGATAATGTTTTTATTACTATTATTAGTATCAGTTTGAGTATTAAAATTACCTATATACTTCAAACTTTAGAGGTTTATTAATATTTTTGCTAATGTGCCTTGAACACACAATGGCTGTACAATTATATGGTGTACAGCTAAACTGTAGTATAAACAAATAGGAAACATTTATTTTATTTCCAAATAAAAGTGAGTACTTGTCAAGTATTTACAGCAAAACTTTAATAACGTTATACTGCAGATTAAGACTTTGGTTTAAGAAAGTGATAGAAGATGTACATAAACTCTTTACCAGTTTACTACCTGACAGCTGAATGACACTTCCTCACTGTTTGTAAAATTGCCTGGGCTATGCTAAAATAAAGCCCAACTAACAATTAAAATAACCTCACTGGGGCAGAAATTTTTTTACATGTGGATTTTAAGAAGGATAATAGCAATAGACATTTATTATTCCACAGGATTGATTCTAGATACTTTTTTCCCCCTTCTATTTGGCTGCCAGCGAGTTTCTCTGACTGGAAAAAAACCCCAGTAAATATCAACCAAAAAAATGAAATGCCTGCTTGTTGGAAATTACAGTACAGCATATGTAGAAAAATGTTTGCCTTTACCTTTTACATTACACTGGTTTTCAAGGGTTTGTGTTAGACCGTTTATCACATTCTGTTGAGTAGTACACTCTGAAATAAAGAAAAAATCCAGGTTTTAAAAAATTATTTTTTCACAATTTTGTATTTTGCTTAGAAACTCCTCTCAAATATTTTACAATAATTTTGATTAAATATTATTCTGAGTCTTCTTACTGACTGGAGAAGTAACTCAGATCATTATTATGTTGATTTAATTATGTGCTTAATTTTAGCTTTTAGTTCGATGATAGACTAAAATCAGTTTTTTGAAGCCATATAACTTATTTCATGAAACAATTATGGTTTTGTTCCTAGCCAGAAAACAAGGATCTTACTGTTTTCTGGGCAATAATATAAGTTTTCCATCAATTTGATGGATTTAATAACTTGCCTGACAGCATTTTTGCCAAGATTCTTTATAACAAGACCCACAGTATCCACTCATTGCAGTCTCTCACCTCCTTTTAGTGCATAACAACATTGATCTTGTGGCTCAACACAAACTTTGAGAGATTCGGAATATCCTCGTTGTCTCATTTTGTAGAAAATAATGGTGTGGGTTTGCCATATGCATGCAACATGCTATCAGTTTACATATTTGCATTTCATAGCTTTATTTTTTAGGCTGTGTTTCTAGGCTTTGAGCACCATATGTACTTCCTGTAATATGTATGACATTTGGTTCTCATTAAATACTAATTTCATTGCCTATATTCCTTGTAAACTGATCAGTAAAGTCACAAAACAGGCAAAGTCTGGGAGGAGTGGGGGCACTGAAACTGAGGTTGCTTACTCTTAAAACCTCTCTCTCTCTTTCCAGAGGACCACTGCATTTCTCAAGTGGCTTTTAATTTCCACAGCAGATAAAAGTACACTACATGTCAGTTACTCATCTCATCAGACTAAAGCTCCGTGAAAACTGTCTGTCAGATAATTAAGGACTACATTGCAAATAATGGAGTCAGGAATATGCATTAAGATCTTAGCTAAGAGATTCAGTTTTCCATTCAATCTTTTCGCCCGTTTGTCTATTCTCCCATCCAGTCTGCCTCTCATGCAGCCGAGTGCGTTATCCAGCTGTCTTCTCCCGTTCCATGCTTCCAAAAAAACCCAGGAGAGGGAGCACGAGCAGCACACAAACACTGCCTGCCCTCTGTTCTACGGGATCTTGAGCGTCTGTGGAAAAGTCCTGTTCCAACTCGGAAGCACTAGGTTAGGGTGCCCGTTTGTACCAACTAGTTCTACTGCAAATTTCCTCCCATTTCAAAATGCATAGAAGCAAACTCAAACGCTTGTAATTCATGTACAAAGTGGAAAAACGTGTGCATTCGAGTAAACACTAGAGCAGCAGCTAGCCTTAAAAGAATCACAAGTATTTAAGTGCAAGCCACTCTTTTGTTCAGACCCAAGAATATCTGCTTATCTTTCTTATCGTTAAAGGATGTATCTTGTCAAATCCCATACGTAATTAGAGTCATGACTGGAAAAAATTACTGGGAACATGCAAGTTTTGCTTGTCTAAATAAAGGATGAAAAAGCAAAATTTTGCTAAATGGTTGCAGCTTTGTGGATTGCTGGCACAGCATCCATTATGGATTCTGTGTAGTTCCTTCCCTGTACAGAATGCTGCCTACACACGGAAAGACCAAACAGCCAAGTGCTCATTTTCCCTGTTCAATAACTGTAATTTATTGCAGTTTCTTCCATCTGCATTTATAATTGATTTTTATAGGGCAATTACATCAACCACTTTTTCCTTTAAAACCTTAGAAACGCTAAGTAAACAAATACACAGCCCTGAAGATGCTAAATAGAACCATCTTAAGTGTTTCATAGACAATAATGTGTTTGCTTTCTTCTACAGAGCTACAGTATATTTTAGTTCAGAATTGTAGCAGCATAAGAGTCTGTTTAGTCATCACAGAAAAAAGGTTTAGGAGAAGAAAACAAGAATGCCAGAATTGGGTCAGCCTTAAGTGGATCTGCAATGATTTGCACCAAACAACACCCGTCATTCTGCATCTCACCTTTGTTTAATGAAGAACTTATCAAGAGAAAATAAAAAGTTCATTAGGGACCTTTCAGAACATGCATACTCTTGCCAAGCTGCTTATCTTTTCCCACCTTATCTTGGGTACAAATGTTTCACTGCCCTCTCCCTTGAGTTTTCCAAGTTTTCTTTCTTCCTTTGCATTTCCTTCAGAATTTCTGGTCTTCTTTTACAATTTTACAGAGAGACTTTTGGCAATCAAGGATATCAGGAAACCCTCAGGTTCTCACTTGTTGGAGATTTCCTGAAATCTCATGAAATGCTATTACCTTTTCTGTTTCTCATAGTAACAAAGAGCTCCTTGGCCAGGGTAAAATTCCACCTTTTCCACCCCACTACCTTTCAGAGTGGGCACTTTATTTCTCCTGCTCTGCTGTAAGCAATTCCTGTAGCCTTTGGGCAAACTCTTCAAAAGATACTTTCAGAAACTGTGGCTAAGCTGGGTTCTGGAAAACAGCTTGGGACATGAGGCTGGGAGAAACCCTCCTTCCAAGTCTCAGTTGGCAATATTGCTGTATAAAAGCCGTTCTCACAACTACAGTCTGTCAGGGTAACCATAAACCAGAGTAAGAATGGTACCAATGCTATATTTGGTTCCTTGCGTCTTCTCCAGTTCTGCACAGAATCCCTCTACAACATCAACAATATTAAAGAAGGGTTCTTTTATTCCCACAGTCCTTTGAGCTTCCAAAAGGCTTTTACAAAGAATTGAACTTTTAGATGCAAAACCTTTTGTACTCTGATTCCAAATACACCTATTTTTTGTTACACCTGAATGCTCATTTTGAAGGGTCAGTGTGGCAGGTGAATGTAATAAAGGTGCAAAGACCATTTCTGTGCATTTCAAAAAGAAAAAGAAAAATGCTTTAGAAGCATTGTGCACTTACTGCTTCATAATCACTAAATCAACCCTCACATCCTGTGGAAATAGTTTCAATGTCACTGCCACAGCCCAGAGTCACTGCTGATCTCCAGTGATGTGGTGTTTACCTGAAGGTTCCTGGGACAGCATCTGCTGCAGTTTATGTCCACTTGCTGCCCAAGATGTTTTTTGAAACTGATTTCTGAGCACCATTAATTAACGCAGTCTGAAAATATAAACTTAGAGGAACTTCATGCCACGATACTTGAAGTGCCTTATTGGTAGGCACGGAATGACAGAACAGGTCAGGCTGGAAGACACCACAGTGGGTCATCTGGTCCAGCCTCCCTGCCCAAGCACATGGCACTGGAGTGCATCCAGACAGTTCCTGAATATCTCCAGTGAGGGAGACTCCATGACCTCTCTGAGATTAACCTAATAGAACAGCCATTATAACTACCTTAATTTCTTAAATACATTCTATCCCTTTGGCACTTTATTTATCATTTACTTCCTTATCATCAAGCAGCTTTCAGAATCATCTCTTGGGATGTCCCACATCGCTGCAAGATCCTGCTTTTCACTTTTTTCATTACTGCTACTCATATCTCTGCAATCTCTTACTCGGTGACCAGAATGATTGTCTTCCAACAATTCTGTATTCCTATCTATATCTGTACAACTCCTGTGGCTTCAGTATTATTGAGGTTTATTTTTTCCTGCTATCCCTGCTGTTAAAACATTAGATCATATTTCATGCTGATTTTTCTGCTATTTTCGCTTGGACTTCTGCCACCCACACTTTTTTTCCCATCATGTGTTTCAAAAGAAGCTCCAGAGGCTCTTCTCTTCAGTTGTATCAGCATAACTATCTCATCAAATCATCTCTCTCTTATTGAAGTGAGGCACTACTGTTACAAAGCTCAAATCTCTCTGCTGACTCTCATCTGTTTTCAGTCCGTTCTACTTCCTTGTTGCAGTCATCCCAGCTGCTCTGGTTTCCTGAGTTGTCTCTTTCACTTTCTCTGCTACCTTTTATCCCATAGGTTTTGCTGTAAGAAGAATTTCTTCTTTTTGTCTGCCTTTTCTTTTCCCTTTTTACAATCTGTTTTATATAAACATACTCTTCTCTGGTTTCATCAATAATGAGGACTCTTGTTCTGTTTCTGAATGACTGCCCTGCACTGCCTTTTTGCTTAATAGCGAAACAAATGCCTCTGACTCAAACCAAAGTTCCATCCGCTTCACTGTCCCTCTTCAAAATAGCTAGTAGAAGATACTTAGGAAAGAGGAAAAAAAAGCTGGGTGAACACTGCCCTTAATACATCATCTCAAGTTTCAAACCACAGAAATAAGGGAGACCTTAGTGAGAGATAGTCTTTGTGTTTAACAAATTTTGTTAAGTTTTTTACGTGACTTTTTCTAATCTTTTTTGGTTTAATCTATACTCCTTTATCCAGAAGCTTCTGTGGAAGTGATTTAACTTTATTTTGTAATGTATGAAAAGTTTCTCCTTTTATTAGCTTTAAATCAATCAAGTTTTATTTCCATCTAGTTACTTATTACATTAGACAATGAATATTCATTTCCTAGTCACTTTCTATGTGCCATTCACAGTTTTACAGATATGAGTCATGTCAGCTTTATTCTTTCTCTTTAGGCTGAAATGTTTCCAGTCAACTTAAGTCCTCTTTCAGATGTTCCAGAATTGTGATCAAACCTGTGAAGGCCCCGAGTGCATTGTCCCCCACCCACCTTCTGGGTGTGTGGCTGGGCACAATTCCATCTTAG